CCAGAGAGAAGAGATAGGAAGCCCACTGAAGGAGAAAGACTGGTAGAACCTAGGCCTGGAGACAGGGTAAGGCTGCCTGGCCTTGAGGGTATGCGGGATGAGGAAGGGTGAGAACCCAGCATGGCAGCGAGCCCCCGGAGCCCTTGACCTTGGGATGAGCCCACACTGACCACCTGGTGCTGGCTGCTGGGGACTCAGAACTCCTGCAGCTGTCACAGGGTGGGGGGAGGGGGTTCTGCAGGTGCTGGTCACCCCCCTCTGCCCTCCCTGGCTGTTAATCCCATGGTTCCGGCCACCTCTCCAAAGAACTGGCAGTCTAGGCCCAGATGGGGGAGGGGGCTCCGGGTGGGTGGTAGTGGGTCAGATACCCAAGGAGCTCAGGAAAGCTGATGTGGGGCAAAGAATAGGGTGCAGCTGCAGGCACCGGGTCCCGGGGATTTGTCTGGCATGGCTCTGTGTGTGGGGTGTATATATGTGTGGGTGATGTGCTTGCGGGGGCGTGTTGTGACTCGTGTGTCATGATTCCACACAGGAGGGGCAAGTGGACTCAGGTGCTTTTGGGTCTGGCCTGAGCCTAATTTATCTCTGTGACCCCAGAGTCTGGCCCCTCCCAGCCCTCCCTGAGTGTCCAGGGAGTGGCCACAGGGGAGCAGCTATGGTGGCAGCAGGGGAAGCCTGGGCTTTCTGAGATGCTGGCTCGTGAGCAGAGGCAGTGGTTCTCTTTGGGCCCAAGGTCCTGAGCAGAGGCTGAAGGGTGGACTTGAAGGCCGCTATGGGGGAGGCCAATGGATGCTGGAGTGGGGCACGGGAAGATGCAGGCAGCTGGGAGGAGAGGCAGGAGGGGAAGTTGAACACAGCTGTGCCTCTGCTCAGTGCCTGCTCTGGGCCAGAACCTCTCAGCCTTCCACTCTCCCACACCTCACTTGAGTTCCAGTTAGTTCTAGCAGGTCTGTTAGCTCCACTTATTGACAGGGAGACCCAGAAGGTAAGAAACTTGAGCAGGCTACACAGCCTATGAGGGCTGGAATTGGGGTTCCAGCCACCCCTTCCCCTCTGCCCAGCCTCCTGTTTCCCACAGACCTCCACTCTAGTCCCCCGCCTCTGCAGATGGGCCCCTCAGTGGCCTGTCTTCTTTCTTGCCCAGGCCAGAGCCACGTTCTAGGATTCTGACTTTGTGGCCCCATCCCCACATCTCTAAATCTCTTTCAGGGTGCACCCTCTCACTTCGCTCTTCCTTTTGTGCCTCATGGCCAACATGGGGCCCTCCTGTCTTCCACTCTCCATCCTCTATAGGCCTTAGGCTGTGCCCAGCCGGGTGGAGGGTCCTGGGGCTCCCGTGGTTCACTCACAGCCACCCCCTCCAGGGCTCCCCTAAGGACCAGAAGGATGCCCCCATTCCAGGGCCTTCCCGTTCCTGAGGGGCTCGACACACCACACATTTAAAGGAGAGGATTCAGGGCCTCCCCGGTGGCACAGCGGTTGAGCGCTGGGTTGTGAAGCTGCCTGAAGCCTCTGCGGCGCCGTTTTGATCCCCAGCTGCTCCCCGGCCACCAGAGGAGGGTCCCGCATGGCGCGCAGACCTCTCCTGCCGCCCGCTGCTCCCCTCAGCAGTGTACTTCGGTCCTTCTGCCTGCTCTGCTCCCCGCTCTGGCTCTGGTGAATTCTCTCACCCTCCCGCGCTTCTGACTGTACCCAGTGCTTGTATAAATAAATAAATAAATCTTAAAAAAAATAATAAATAAATAAAGGAGAGGATTCGGCTGGCCGGCTGTTCTGTTCTGGGTCGAGGAGGTATCTGCACTTTGATCTTTGATAAAAAGATCTTCAGGCCTGGAGAGGCCCTCCTTGGGCAGGAGACCTCTTTCCACATCCCGAGGTGTGAGACCAATGCAGCAAATAAGGTCACTGACTTTGTTGGGATGGGCCATGACCCTGTGGAAGACTCCGTGGGGCCCAGCGTCTCCTGGGTCCCTCTTAAATGTGTAGCTTCTGGGGAACTGCCACAGCCCCAGGAATCAGAATCTCTAGAAGCAGGTCCCTGGAATCTGCTTTGTAAGTTTCCTGGCACGGGCTGCGACCCACAGATGTGGCAGGTGCTGTGTGACACCAGGGGAGTCTCGCTCACTTTGAGACTTGGTGGGAAACTCCTTAAAAAGAAGCCATAAATACATTTGGGGTATAGTGTGAAGAAAACCCAGGTCCAGGCTGGTGGGTTCAGGGCGATTTTCTTTTAGATTTTCCAGACCTTCTCTAAAGTGATCAAACGGCCTCATTTCTTCTTGTTCCCCTCGGAACAGGAAGGCCAGCATTCTGTGGGAAGAGCACTGGACCAGGAGTCGAGAGACTTGTCCCTGCCGCGGCGGCCTGTGACTGGGGTGAGTCAGGCCCTCCTCCTGCTGACCACCAGCCTGTCTCCTACTTGGTGTTTGTTGGGGACCATGTCCCTCCCATCCTGGATGTGCCTGGCGTATCCTTGCTGCAGCCCCACCAGCCTCTGGGTGCTCAGCGTGTTGAGGGGATGCCAGAGGGCTGGGATGGGGGGCAGTCATGGGAAGTGAGGGGATCCCAGGGGACCTAGTCTCCTGCTTCTCCTTTCCCACCTCTCTGGCCTGGGGCCTGGGAAGAGGATGAGGTGGCAACAGGAGGAGGAGGTGTGACAGCCAGGGTTCTTCTTCTCACCCAAGCTGGCAGTGGGGCGGGACTGGCAGTGGTGACACCAGGGCCACTCAGCCCCCGCTTTTCACAAGCACTTTCTTTTTTGGGTGGAAGAAATTGGAGGGAGGGGGGTGAGGAGTCTGGGGTTGACGAGCAAGGTGTAAGACCCTCTTATAGCCATCAGGGTATGAAGAGACTGCCGCCTGGCCACCCTTTTCCTCCGGGGTGGGGGTCTCCACATCCAACTGATTTTGAGGTTCATAACCCCCCCTACTCCACAAAGCTGGGTGGGGGCTCAGGTCTCTCACCTCAGGGGCAGGGGGGTGGATCCCTTGACCCGAGGAATAACATGGAAAAGAGGGCAGAGGGGAGGGGGAGGAACACGACTCCATTTGGCCTTCTGTAACCAAGCACTTAGCAAAAATGTCCCCCCGAAGAGATGTGAGCATTCAATAGTCTCAGGTCTCCTGGGGAAATCAGTCATTCAGGGAGGTCTTGCTGAAATTTCTCATGTTTCCCCAAAAGTAGCCAAGGGTCCAAAGTCACTCTCTCTTTCAAGTAATGCTGCCCCACTTGGCACTGCCAGGCAGAAACCTCCCCCTTCCTTAAGACGTGGGGGTAAAGGGGTGGGAGGAGGCCGCGGGTTCTGTGCTGTGTGTATCTGGTCTCCGGTCCTCAGGGCATGCGCAGATTCTCTCCCCCACCCTCCCTGGGTCATGCCTGCTGCCTGGGGTCCCCAGCTTTGCCTTCACCTGCTAAGCTGCCTCTCGGTTCAGCTCTAGTTGGGAGCAGAGAGTCCCTATGGGCCCCTCAGGATGAAGCCCTGTTGGGTTGGGACAGGGATGTAGAATGGGGCCAGCCCCCGGGGGACAGTTGAGGAGGGCGAGAGGAGAAGCTAACCTTTAACACATCGAAACTGCTAAGTATTTTTCAAAACACTCTTTAAAAATGTAAATCTTTCTCTATACATTGACATGCAAAAAATTCCATGACACTTTGACGAGTGAAAGAAAAACACACACTACAAAGCAGCACGTGTGCTGTTTATATAAAATGTGTGTGTGTGTGTGTGTGTGCCCAAAAGACAGGCAGCGTGCAAGGAGTGACGTCTGGAAGGGGGTTCACGGTATGTTGATCCTGTTTGCTTCTGGGGGTGGAATTTGGGGTTATTTAAACAGTTTTATTTTTACTTCTCTGAACTGCTTAAATTTTCTATATGAGTATGTTTTCTTTTTATAAACAGGAAAACTCCCAATGATGCTATTTTCAATCAGGAGGAAAAAGGATAGTTTTCATCATAAAATGTAACTAGCAATACATTACTCAACAGAAAAGGAAAAGAGAGAAAGAAAAGGCACTGTGGTCCTATCACCCAGGCAGCCCTTCAGGACATGCGGTGTGTTTCCTTCCTGTCAGCCCCCGAGTGTGCTGAAAGCAGCTTCCCATCCAGGTATGATAATAGGTTGGAAAGGGCTGCACAGGTGCCCCTCTCTCAGCCCCTCCTAAAGTAGATCAGTGTATTTCCCCAGCCTCTGGAGGAGCCACCTGAGGCTGACTTTCAAGCAAGGGAAGTGACTTGTCAAGGTCACACACACCTGAGTCACAGGCAGAGCCAGTGCTTCCAGGGCCCATGGCTGCCATGCTCCCGAGTGAGCAGAGCCGGGCACCAGGTGGGGGAGCATTTGTGGGCCCTGCCCAGCCTGGGCCCTGCAACCCGTCAGCAGACCTGCAACCCCCCTCAAGGAACTCTTTTGCTGCCCTCCAGGTACCAGGTCTGCCCCTGGGCTGGAGGTTCAAGATGCAAGGGACACAGCCCACCTCCTCCTCTGGGTGGTACAAAGTGTGCAAACATGTCATGTAAAGCCACTTACCCCAGAAACTAGACACACAATGGGCATCAATAAGTGTCTCTTGAATATTTACGGTTGAAGAGGTTTGACATTGGGAGTGTTCCTTGCCTGCAAGAGCTTTGAGAAGACCTCCTTGATTAGCATCTGGGCCATCACTGAAGGCTTCCCGTAGGAGGGGGCCTTTGTACTGAGACTACAGGGATGGATGGAATTTCCACGAGGGTTCAAAAGAGAGAAACAGGCTGGCGTTTCAGGTGGAGGGGTTGACCCTCCCAAAAGGCAGTCTTTAAGCACGAATCAGGAGACGAGGTGACCCGCTGGTCTCCACCGTGGGTGGGTGGGGGACCTTCTAGTCCTCAGCGCATATAATTCAGCCAAGAGGGGGCGGGGCGAGGCGGGGCGGGGCCGAAGTGGCGGGATATGGGGTGGGGGGGCGGAGAGCTTCATAAAGCCACAGCAAAGGCGCCGCCTCGACGCTAGTGACAGCCCGGAGAGGGAGCTGGGCAGCTGCCGCGCGCCCCGCCGAAAGCGGGCGCAGGACTCTTGCAACCGAGCTCCGGCTCCGGTGGGGTCCCCGCCCCCGGGGCCCCGCCCCGCCCCCCTCACGCCTTCACCCACGGGACCCTCTTGCCTGTCCGGCGCGGAGGAAGGAAGGCGGTCCTCGACGGCTGCTGGAAGGTGCTAGCCCGCCCCGGATGGGCATCGTGGGACCGGGCTGCGGAGACATGCTGACAGGCACCGAGCCGATGCCGGCGAGCGACGAGGGCCGGGCGCTTGGCGCCGACCCGCAGAACCGCTACTTCTACCCCGAGCCAGGCGCGCAGGACGACCGTCGCGGGGGCGCCGGCCTGGGAGCGCCCTACGCCGGGGGCGCCCTGGTGCCCACCCCGCCGGGCCGATTCATTGGAGCCTACGCCTACCCGCCTCGGCCCCAGCCGGCCGGCTTCCCCGGGGCTGGCGAGCCCTTTCCGCCGACGGCAGGCGCCGAGGGCTACCAGACTGGGGACGGCTTCGTGGCCCCGGACCCGCGCGCCGGACTCTTTCCCGGGACGCGCGAGGACTATGCGCTGCCGGCGGGACTGGAGGTGTCGGGGAAACTGAGAGTCGCGCTCAATAACCACCTGTTGTGGTCCAAGTTCAACCAGCACCAGACGGAGATGATCATCACCAAGCAGGGCCGGTGAGTGAGGCCAGCGCGGGCGCGCGAGCCAGCTCCGCGGCGGCTGGGAGCCCGCATCCCGCCGGCCTGAACAGTGCTGCCCTATCTCTGCGGGCCTGACAGTTTTGGCTAAAGCTTTGGGGAGCAGCAGAGGGAGTTGTCAGTGAGTACAACTGGGGCCTTTTGAGCCCCGGACGGTACACCGACAGGCAGAGAACTCACAAGGACGTGGATGAGGGTAGCCTGAGGCGTCACCTTGGCTCAGGGGAGGGTGCCGTGGTGTCACTGAGAACTGGTGTGCGCTCCTGCCTGAGTGGGGAGTCGCCATGGAGAGGGGAGCATGTGACTTGGGTCTGACAGGAGGGACTCCTTAGCCTCTGTGTATGGGGAAATGGGAGGGGGGCAGAGACTTGCAGTGTGGCTACAAAAACCCCCGTCATTGCCACCCCAGCCCCGAACCCGCCTCTCCCAGCCCCTTTGCTCCCAGATCCGCTGGGGTTGGAGGTAAGACTGGCATTTGGCAACACGGAGAAGCAGTTGCCAAGTTTCCTTTCCGGTAGTACTTTGAGATCATATGTCTGGTGTGTGTGCTGGAGAGGGGTGGGGGTAAAGTGTATGGGGGCACAGATCCCTGCTCCAGGGCACTAATGTCCATGGACCTGAGCAGGTGAAGCTAAGCAACAGGTCCCAGCCGAGCCCACACTCCACATCCTTGAGGTCTGTCCCCTGAGTGCCTGCCCACACCCCTGTCCAGATACATCTGGTCCAGCCTGGAGAAGTGGGGAGGGGCCCCCACATCTCAGGGGACCCTGAGCAGGGCCTGGGGTTTGGGGCCAAGGCTGCTGCTTCCGCAGAGAGCCTTCATGAAGAAAGAAAGAGAAACTTGTGTCTTGTGTGGTATTAGTCTAGTAAGCAAGACTCAGAGTGGGCCTGGCCTGTGTCTGGCCTGTGAGCTCCTGCACCCACCCTTCCCAGCCGGGGCTATGTGGCAGGGCAACAGTGAGAACCTCCCTGTGGATGGACTGTGTCATCAGTGGGTCCAGGAGAAGAGTGGACACCAAGTACAGAACTGAGGAAGGGAGAGAGGAGAGTCCATGATGGGCCTGCAAGTTGGCAGTCAATCTGGATATTGCTGGAACAGTCTTCCTTCCTGATGATTTTCTGTGGGTGGTCTGATATTGCGAGATCCACCCACCAATCATAATTGGCTTCAAGCTGCTGAACTGTCCCCCTGTCCCTGGGATAAATCCAGGAAAATGGACATTTTCTTCTATGGCCGGCCTTCATCTCTTAAGCCTTCTGATAACTTGTCTCTGCTCCCCACAATCCCAGACCTTCCGGGTGCACCTAGGCACAGCCCATTGTGTGTGAATGGAGGGGACCCAGGAGATTCTGTCCATTCCCCTCCTCTCTGTTTCCCAGGTAGGGAAACAGGCCCAGAGGCAGTGAGAAACTCCTGAGGTCACCAGGCACATGGGCTGCAGGCAGTAGAACCCAGATGCTACCTGCCTGGGTTTCTTTCTCTGGTCCCCATGGCCAAGAGTAGAAACAGCCACCCACACTGTCTGACAGTCTTGGTGCAGTCAGATGCTTTCACTTCCATCATTTCTCTGTGTTCTAGGTAAGCCAAACGGTCTCCCTGTTTTACAGCTGAGGGGACAGGGGCACAGGGATGTCTAGTGGCTTGCACTTGGTCACACAGTAGGCCTGAACTCAAGCCTCCACTCTGCATGTGGTCAGGAAGTCCTCCCACCCTGGGGCCCGGCTGGGCTCTCCCCACAGTCTGCTGCCAGATCTTCCCTGTCTGGTCTCAAGGGAGGGGCTGGATGGCGCATGTGCTAGCACTTCGGGGATCTGGCTGTGCTGAGCCGGCTATGGGTGCAACACCAGCAGTTTAAGGTGGGGGTCTCTGGGTGGGTCACCATCCCTAACCCCTGGTCTCCTGTTCTTTATGTCCCTGCTGAATATTTCTTTGAATAATTCTCCCTGAATAATTCTCTCGGAGCCATCTGAATAATTCTCATTTGAATGCACACAACTACTTTCTTTTTTTATTATGAAAAATTCTAATATATACTAAAGTGATGAGAAAAATAGCAACAGACCTCCATTGACCATCATTCGGTGTCAACAGTGGTCATGCTAGTCCGGTCTTGTTTCTTCTTTATCCCCACGCACTCCTATCCCTCTGGGCTGCAACTATATTCGTGAGAGTAAGTAACGAGTAAGTAAATCCCAGGCACTACATTATTTCATCCTTAAATACTTCTCTATCATCTCTAAAAATGGCTCTGGAAAAAGAAACACAGTAAAACACAGTATCGTTAGCAAACATGAAAAGAAACTTCTAAGAATCATCAACTCCCCTGTTTCCTAAGTGTATGCGTGTGTGGTAATGCTTATACTTTCCGTCCATACCTAGGGGTGACCCACAGCACCACTGGGCTCATTTGGAAGGGGCAGTGGCCCCTCACTGTTTCTTTTGATGCGACCCTTGGATCAGACCAAGGCGTCCCATGTTGGGGTGCCGGGAACAGTTAACACTCCCAGTTTAACCCCACTAGCCCTAAATCACCCCCATGTGTTAACTCGGGCTCCGGTGATCTGGGAAATCAGCGGCCATTTCCTTCCACTAATGGCTTCTGAAAAGTCAGTCTCGAGTTCAAGGTCAGCCTTCCCATCCTTCGGCTTCAGAGGGCTGGCCTGTCCCCCAGTGTGTTCCAGTAGACCCACCAGCCACCACCAAGTCACCCACGGCTTCTTCCTCTTTGAAAATTTCTCCCACCCAGGCCCACCCACGGGCCCGCAGCCTGATGCTTTGAGCTGACTCATCCTCTCCCAGCCACCCTGCACCCACCCCTCAGTCTGGACAGTCACGCTGTCGCCCATGGGCGGGGTGGAGTGGGAGTAGGGGGCTGTCAGGATGCAGGCACTTCAACGGCCTGGGAGGAAAGTGAGGACAGAGTGACAGGTGGACCAGCGGGGGCTTCCAGTGTCTACGATGATGTGTCTGTGGAGCCTTGGAGGCCTGGTAGCGGCCACCGCAGACTGGCGTCGCGTCCCTCTGCGGCAGGGTGTGTGCTGCGAGTGTTGGTGCGCATCTCACACTTGATGGTAGATAGGCTCAGTAGAGGAAGAGAGGTCGGGGACTGTGAGTGTGGGTGTGTGGGTGTGCATTCATGGCTGGCAATCCCCACTTTTCTGGGTGTGATTAGTTGATTATTATAATTAAGATAATGTTCGGCCTCTGTTGTTAAGTAGCTCAATTTGCATGGGGTGTGTGCGAAGTGAGGGGTTGATGAAATAATTTCAGTCCCGCACGAACCCCGAGCGCTGGCCTCACAGCCCCGTGGCTTTCTTTTCTTCCCATTGCCAACTCCACCATCTTTTTAGACCTTAACAAACAAAACGTCTCGATTTATTAAGGACTGACAGGCTTCATTTCTCTTGGGGGAGATGAAAACAGCTTTGCTTTCTGTTTGGCTATTTGCTTACAGCATCTGGCTTCTATAAGAGTGTGAGGTGCGGGTAGGTGGAGATCCCCTGAGGCCTGAGCGAATTTTGTGCATCTACAGGTAGGATATACCCCCAAATGGTGGGGCCGACGACATCCCACCCACAGTGTTTGAGAAGATCATTTCCCCACAGGTGATTCAGCATTGGAGACAATTGATTCTTAGATATTTTGCCAGCAGGCTGACAAACCCATCCCCTTCAAGATGTGCTCAGCGATGCTGAAGTGGGGCCTGTCTCGGGTGCTCATGATGGGGGTTCGGTAACCCTCAGAATCAAGGCATCAAAGTCCTTAGGGGCAGCAGAAAAATCTGGGGTCTTGAATTCTATCCTGGGGGCGGGGGGAAATAGTAAGTTTGACAGCAGGCCCATCTCTACCCACGTTTCTTCCCAGCAGTGTCATGTAAATCAGGCTCTATTTTGGGATTCCCACTGGTAGTGATTCTAGACCTTTAGGGTAAAATGGAGACCTCCCTTTTTCTCTCTGTTTTCCCCATCCTCTTTCTGTGTCTCCTCCATTTTCCTTGACCAGCAATAGAAGCAGGGTAGAGGAATGGAACATGCCCCCGCTGCCAGGCACTGTGTGGGTAGAGGTCCGGACTCTACTTTCTGCCAAGGATCCATCACCAAATCTCTCCGAGCCTCAGTTTCTTCAAGTATAAAATTGGAAGAACATTTTATATCTCAAAGAACTGGTTTGATGGACTGACTTTATTTCCTGCTCTTCCTTTATTCGTACAAGTTTGGAGAAGAACTGATCACATACCAGTTACATATGTGTGCATGACCTGACTACGCGAATGAGTGAGTGATAGAAATGAGTTGAAAATATTTTTCCATTCTCAATTGTTCAAGTCCTCATCCTGTTTCACATCTATCAAAGTTTTTAACAACTCTCAGAGGAGGATCTTCCTGGGGGCGCAAAGGGTTAACTCTCAGTACTATGAAGCTATCGGCAAAGGGATCTGCCCACATGGCACAGCAGACCTCTCCTGTCTCCCCCACTGCTCCCCTCAGCAGTGTATTTCAGTCAGTCCACCTGCTCTACTCCCCACTCTGTCTCTGGTGAGTCCTCTCACCACATGTACCCCTCTCCGCAACTATGACCTACACTCCAACTCTTGTATGCATAAGTAAATGAAATAAACCTTTTTTTTTTAAAGATTTACTTATTTTAATTTTTTTAAAAAAGATTTATTTATTTATTTACACAAGCACTGGGTACAGTCAGAAGCGCGGGAGGGGGAGAGAATTCACCAGAGCCAGAGCGGGGAGCAGAGCAGGCAGAAGGACCGAAGTACACTGCTGAGGGGAGCAGCAGGCGGCAGGAGAGGTCTGCGCGCCATGTGGGACCCTCCTCTGGTGGCCGGGGAGCAGCCGGGGATCGAACCGGTGCTGCAGAGACTGCAGGCAGCTTCTCAACCAAGCGCTCGACTGCTGCGCCACCGGGGAGGCCCTATTTTAATTTTTTTTAAGATTTATTTATTTTTATACAAGAATCGGGGTACAGACCAGATGCGCGGGAGGGTGAGAAGATTCACGGGAGACCAGAGCGGGGAACAGAACGGGCAGACTGACAAAATACATAGCTGAGGGGAGCAGCGGGCGAGACAGAAGAGGTCTGCTTCGCCATGTGGGATTCTCGCTGGCCGGCCGGGATTGAACCAGTGTTGCAGAGGCTGCGGACAGCTTTGCAGCACAGCTCTCAACCGCCTGCACCACCAGGGAGGCCCTAAAGATTTATTTATTTATGTATACAAGAACTGGGGAACAGGCCAGAGGTGAGGGATGAGTCCTCTCACCGCCTGCTGCCTTTGCAACTCTGGCCTATACCCCAGCTCTTGTATGCATAAATAAATGAAATAAATTTTTTTAACTTTTAATTTTTAATTATTTATTTATTAAGATTTATTTTATATTTATACAATAGCTGGGGTACAGCTAGAGGTGCAGGAGGGTGACAGGATTCACCAGAGACAGAGTGGGGAGAACAGGCAGACAGATCAAAAGCACTGCTGAGAGGAGCAGGGGGTGCGACAGGAGAGGTCTGCTGCACCATGTGGGAATCTCCCTGGCCAGCCGTGAATCGAACCCGTGCTGCAGAGGCTGCGGACAGCTTCACAGTGCTGCGCTCAACCTGCTGCGCCACCGGGGAGGCCCAATTTTTATTGTTTTTAAAGATTTATTTATTCATACATACAAGAACTGGATGTAGGCCAGATGTGCGGGAGGGTGAGAGGATTCACCAGAGTCAGAGTGGGGAACAGAACAGGCAGACTGACTGAAATGCACTGCTGAGGGGAGCAGCGGTGAGACAGAAGAGGTCTGCTGCGCCGTGTGGTTATCTCCCCGGCCAGCCTGGATTGAACCTGTGCTGCAGAGGCTGCGGACAGTTTCATAGCGCTGCACTCAACTGCCTGTGCCACCAGGAGGCCCTGGGGTACAGGCCAGAGGTGAGGTGGGTGACAGGATTCACTAGAAACAGAGTGGGGAGCAGAGCAGGCGGATTGACCGAAATACACTGCTGAGGGGAGCAGTGGGCAAGACAGTAGAGGTCTGCTGCACCATGTGGGTATCTCCCTGGCCGGGGATCAAGCTGGTGCTGCAGTGACTGTGGATAACTGCATAGTGCTGAGACTTAAACCCCTTGCACCACCAGAGAGGCCCTAAATGAAATAAATCTTAAAAAAAAAAAATTTCTCAGAGGAGGGCCTCCCCGGTGGTGCAGCAGGTTGAGCACCACGCTGTGAAACTGTCCGCAGCCTTTGCAGCGCTGGTTCGATTACCGGCCAGCCAGGGAGATATGCCCACATGGTGTGGCAGACCTCTCCTGTCTTGCCCGCTGCTCCCCTCAGCAGTGTTCTCCGTCTGTCTGCCTGTTCTGCTCCCCACTCTGTCTCTGGTGAATTCTTTCACCCTCCTGCGCATCTGACTGTACCCCACTTCTTGTATAAATAAATAAATCTTAAAAAAAAAAAAAACAAACCTCTCTGAGGAAAGACGGACAGGAGTTATCTCTCTTTACCCATGAAGAAACGGGTGTGGTTTGGAAATCAACTGTCTGAAGTCAAAAGGCCAGTAAGTCTCTTTTACTCAGTCTGGGAGGGTCTGGGCAAGACAGGAATGCAACACTGCTCTCCCAGGAGACCTTCATAAAGTTATTAGGGGTATTGCTCTGGAACCCTCTGGGCAGTAGGGCACACCCAAAAGCATTCTAAGGCTCCTGGAACTCACCTTTCCCTAAGTTTCCTGACTCACAGCCCAGTGCCTTTCTTCCCAGACTGCAGGACTTCTTGTGGGAAGAGGGGATATGTGTGTGGGCATGGACAGTAACGCTGCTGAGGGTTTTTTCCTGCCATCCTGAAAACTGTCTTTCTGCTTGGGTTAGAAGAGAACAGCTAAGCCACTGGTGGAAGCGCTGCTTGTATGGGAACTGACTGTGATGGTGTCGGTGGTGGTTAGAGTGACAGTGGCGGTAGTGGTTGTGATGGCGAAGGGGGTCATTGTAATGATGGTGATGGTGGAGGTGAAGGTTATGGTGATAGTGGTGGTGGTGGAGGTGAAGGCGTTTGTTGTGGTGATGGTGGTACTTGTGGAGCTGCTGGTTGTAGTGATGGTGGTGGATGTTGGATGTCGAGATGGTGTGGGGGGTGGTGATGATGGAGGTGCTGGTTGTAGAGCTAGAAGTGATGTTTGTATTAATGATGGTGAGGGTGGAGGTGATGGTGGGGGTGGTAGAGATCGTTGTGCTGTGGGGGTGCTTCTTCCTCTGAATCTATTACTCTGACACAATAGGGGATGATGCAATATCCCAACCCCAACTTCTTCTACTTTTCTTGGCAATCAGGACTTTGAGTGTGAGGACTGCTTAATAGCATCCTTTTGGGTGGACTTGAAGCCCCTTTTCCTGCTCCTCGGCAGGCCCACGCCGGGGGCCTCCCACCCTAGACATCAGGCCCTGGGAGGATGGGTCAGGGAGAACTTGGCAGAGACCCTGGGTTGGGTGTGTTGGCTCTGTGAGAGCCCCAGTGGAGAAGGTGGTTGGGGGGGACTGAGGACTGAGGTATGAGAACCTGCTAGGAACTGCCTTTGGGGGACGAGCTGTGGCTTTGCTCTCCCCAAGATGCAAACTAAGATTAGGGGCAGTGGCGTGCTCCTTAGTGTCTAACGATTGGCCTCCAAACGAAAAACATGCTAAAAAGCCCTGATTCATAGTGTCTTCTGATTTCTGTGGCGTGAATACTCCTGCGGTGACTGATTTCCAGCCTCCCATCTGCTGCACTGAAGCCAGAGTTGGGAAGAACAGTGAGGCTGTCTAATATTCCCACACGCCAGCACCATAGATGCAAAGAGCCTCCAGATCATGCTAACATACACCAAGAAAGTGGGAAGTGAAGATTTTTTAGTATGTATTACTTTGGTTGATGACATAGTGTGTGTAATTGTAATTTTATATAATTTAATGTTAAATTATGGCTGTGTTTAACCGCTTGGGCACTTCCAGTTGGCTCCCATGAGGGAGCCAGCTCCAGCTCTCCACTGCTGGGCTTCCGAGGAGGGGTCACTTTCCTCGGGCTTCAGGGCTGATGGGGATTGGTGGGTCTCTGTTCTCCCCAGGCGGATGTTCCCCTTCCTGTCATTTACTGTGGCCGGGCTGGAGCCCACCAGCCACTACCAGATGTTCGTGGACGTGGTTCTGGTGGACCAGCACCACTGGCGGTATCAGAGTGGCAAGTGGGTGCAGTGTGGAAAGGCCGAGGGCAGCATGCCAGGTACGCACCCCCTTGGGAACTGTGGACTCTTTTCCTCCAAGGCTCGGCGCCCCCTAGTGGATCCAGGAGGAACCCCCCTGGCTCTTGCCCTAGCCGCAGTAACTGGGATTTCTCTCCCCACGCGGTGCCCTTCCACCCCACCCCACCTCATCCCACTGATGGTTTCTGTTTTGTGTCATCTCTTCTCCACTTCGCTCAGCCCTGTTTTCTCTCCAGTCCTCTGCTCACACCTCCCCCTGTCCTGCCCGTCCGGTCCTCCCCCGTGTTCTTCTTGCCATCCCCCTTGGAACTGGTAAAGAAGCCCCCACATCACCAGGGGTCTGATCCAGGCACTGCATGCCAAAGACATCAACTGTCCACAGGAAACCGCCGGTACGTCCACCCGGATTCCCCCAACACCGGCGCCCACTGGATGCGCCAGGAAGTTTCATTTGGAAAGCTGAAGCTCACCAACAACAAAGGCGCCTCCAACAACATCACCCAGGTGGGATTCCTCCCTGCCAGGCCACAGGGGTCCCGGCGCTGATCTAGTTCTGTGAGAGTCACTTTTCTTCCTCTCTGACTCTGGTTCTTTTCCATCCACGTGGGAGGAAGGGGAGGTGGGAGGAGGAAAGTGAGGTGGGAGGACAGACGGGCTCATGTGCTGGCCTGCTTGGGGCTGTGAGTGGGGGCTGCCCTTGCTTGGGCCCCATTCCGGGCACCTGCTGGGCCCGGAGCTCCTAGGGGATGGATGCAGTTTCTCTAAGTTGAGCAATCCCAGAGAACTGCCCTTATCCCTGAAAAGCTCTTTTTGCGCTCAGACCTCGCTCCGATGGACAGCTGGGGGTGGGAAGTGGGGCGAGAGGATAGAACTGGTGCCCCGCAGGGCCTGGGACCAGAGTTGGAAGGCCTGGGAGAAGTCACCTGCTGGCAGAGCAGGGGAGTGGACATGGTGACCTTAGAGTCCTTTGTAACCTGGGGTAAGGCCAGCCCTTGGTGGCCTTGTTGGTGGGGGAGCGTCTCCCAACTCCATCTCCCGTGCCCCCACAAGCATCTTGTCTGTCTTTCAGATGATCGTGCTCCAGTCCCTCCATAAGTACCAGCCCCGGCTGCACATCGTCGAGGTGACCGACGGAGAGCCGGACGTGGCCTGTGGCACTTCCAACACACACATCTTCACTTTCCAAGAAACCCAGTTCATCGCCGTGACCGCCTACCAGAACGCCGAGGTGAGGCCAGCGCGGCAGGCCTGACCCCGTGGGCTTCGGGGAGTGGAGCCCCCAGTCTCCCTCGGGAGGGACTAGCTCCAGACCCAGGACTCAGAGGCCACTATTCCCTTCTCTCTAGATTACTCAGCTGAAAATTGATAATAACCCTTTCGCCAAAGGATTCCGTGAGAACTTTGAGTCGTAAGTGCCACTGGGTTCCACTCACCTTGGCAAAGGCCTTCTCTTGTCCCTCATGAGACTGGGATCGCAGGCTTATGTGTGCGTGCCTGTGAGGTGGGTGCTGGAGAGTGGGCAGGCCAGGGAGGATGTTCAGGGGAGGGTCACACATGAGGAGGGCCGCCGGTGACTGGTTCTGCTCGTGACCCTGTTTTCTGCTCCTCTTTGCAGCATATATGCGTCTGTTGACACCAGTGTCCCCTCCCCGCCTGGACCCAACTGTCAATTGCTTGGGGGAGACCATTACTCGCCTCTCCTACCCAACCAGTATCCTGTTCCCAGCCGTTTCTACACTGACCTTCCTGGCCAGGCAAAGGATGTGGTTCCCCAGCCTTGGGGGAGTTGGCTGGGAGCTCCCCGGGACCACAGCTATGAGGCCGAGTTCCGAGCTGTCAGCATGAAGCCTGCATTCCTGCCCTCTGCCCCTGGGCCCCCCATGTCCTACTACCGAGGCCAGGAGGTCCTGGCACCTGGAGCTGGCTGGCCCATGGCCCCCCAGTACCCTCCCAAGATGGGCCCAGCCAGCTGGTTCCGCTCCATGCGGACTCTGCCCATGGAAACTGGTCCTGGAGCTTCCGACGGGCGGGGGCCCGAAGACCAGGGTTCCCCCTCGGTGTGGACTGAGATCACCCCCATCCGGCCAGAGTCCAGTGACTCGGGACTGGGCGAAGGAGACTCTAAGAGGAGGCGTGTATCTCCTTATCCTTCCAGCGGCGACAGCTCGTCCCCCGCTGGGGCGCCTTCTCCTTTTGATAAGGAAACGGAAGGCCAGTTTTATAACTATTTTCCCAATTGAGCAGATGATGCAGTGAAACAAAAGGAAACAGCGTTATTAGGTTGGAGGACACCAGGGAACATACACAGCAGACTCAGGACTGAGAGGTCCCCAGCTCCTTCTGTCTCTTCTCCTTTTGCAGTGGGTTGGGGAACAGAGAGGCCAAGAAGGAATTGGGGTGCACTTGCTGCTTCCTGGCCCACAATGAGGGAGCGCCCCTGCCCCTTCCCTTGCCCTAACTACAGTCATTTACCTGGTGCTGCTTCTGGCTGTGGCTTCCCAGCTGGAGAAGAGAAATCAGAGAACGAGAGTATCTTGTACACAAAGGAACTTCCTTCCTTCTGGGGGTGGGGGTCAGGCCAGGAGGGGAGGCTGGGACCCAGAGACTCAGTTCTCTCCCTTTGTGGAATTACTTTCAACATTTGTGTTTGTGTGTGTGTTCATCCCTGATCTGAAAATAAGGATACATGGATTTCACAAGGCAGCCAGCCAAGGTCAGGGGGAGGCCTCAGGCAGCCTCCCGCAGCTCACCTGGCCACCAGCTCGGAGACAGTGGGTCCAGAGGGCGGGGCTGGGAGGGGGACAGTCACATGGCAAGAAGCAGGGTCTTTCTTTTTCTGTATTTTTTTTTTTTTGAAATGGAGAAGACTATTTATTGTACAGAGAGTGATGTCTGGAGATGTTTCTTTTGTCTTCATCACTTTCTGAAAATAAACAAAACTGTTGAGCATGTCCTGCCTCAGTGCCAGGGTGGGGGGTGTGGGTGAGGCACCACTGGGGTCGTTAAAAGCTGTTCTTTTGGCTCTGGAACAGAACCTAAAGTTCTGAAGAACCTGTAATTCCTAGAACCCTCAGTGGCGTCATTTAGGGGAGAAGCTGAGTCAGACAAGGTCCCATGTCCTCCCTTCCGCACGTAGGTCTATGCTTTCCCTCCCTCTGCCTGTGTGTGTGCTCTGACCTGTGGGGGAGGGGTGGGGGTCAGGCTGGAGGACTGGAGAAGGGGGATGTCAGGACTCTGCGGCATGGCCTGGATCTCTCTGCATTTCTAGCAGTTTTGACTGTCCATCTTGATCTGCATGGTTCAAGGATTAAAAGAGTAAATGTAAATTGGACCATGTGAAATTGCTATTGGTAGGTCAAGCACAGCCACATGTTGACAATTTCTACTAGAAATCAAAATTTCTAGTACTTGTAAAGGGTTTAGACTAGTACTTAAAAAACTGTATAAACAATTTTTTAAAGATTGTTATTTACTTATGCATACAAAAACTGGGGTACAGGCCAGAGGTGCGGTGGATGAGAGGATTCACCAGAGACAGAGTGGGGAGCAGAACAGGCAGACTGACAGAAATACACTCCTGAGGGGAGCAGCGCCATGTGGGTTGCTCCCTGGCCTACTGGGGCTCAAACTCGTGCTGCAGTGGCTGCGGGTAGCTTCATAGTGCTGTGCCTAACCCCTTGCCCCACCAGGGAGGCCCAGCATTAACAATTGTTATCATCATTCCAGAGCTGTTTCTCTCTCCTTATACACACACTGAATTGTATTTGTAAAGTGATACCTGATTCTTTAATGCAGAAATATATAAAGAAAGCTATAAATTACCACCCACAGGATTACCATTAACATTAGGTGGGCTAGATAGACAAACGCTTTTTAACAGGGGAGTCATACTGAAAATGCTTTTATTTCATGAAGACTATTGAATCTTAGTTCACAGAATTTAATAACAGCACCATCAACTCCCTAAACACTCAAGTGAACCAAAGGGATTGTTCAACCTGAGATACACTGTTCTACATTGTAAGAAATAACTTTCTGGGGCCTCCCTGACGGCCTAGGGGTTGAGTCTCAGCGCTATCACTGCTTCCGCCTGAGTTGGATCCCTGGCCAGGGAGGTGACGCACATGGATCAGCAGACCTCTCCAGTCTCACCCGCGGCTCCCCTCAGCAGTGTATTTTAGTAGATCTGTCTGTTCTGCTCCCCACTCTGTCTCTGGTGAATCCTCTCACCTCCCCACCTCTGGCCTACACCCCAGTTCCTGTACGCAAAAAAAAAAAAAAAAAAAAAAAAGACATAGTTTCTGAAAGCGCTCTTTCAGGTTAAGCCTTTCAGGTTAAGAAAGGAGCTTCTGGGAAGCATGAGGGGTTTGGAGTTACTATGCTTGCCTCTCCTGTACAGGGTAGACCCCATTCTGATGGGGCATGGGATCTGGGGTATTCTCTTAATTCTTAGAGCCTGGAAAACTTCGCTTTTGTCACAGTTCACACCCCCCGCCCCCTTTCCTGGCCTCTACCAGGGGTCACTTTCATCACCTGGTTGAAAGAAGGAAAAGATAAGGGGACAGGTTTGGTTCCATCTCTTTGGATCTGGAGGTGTGTAACTTCGTAGGTGATGCTAGTCCTGACAGACAGCGTCCCTGTGCGGCCTCAGCCGCCACACCACCGCTGGGGGTGATAGTGTTCTCCGGGCCTGCTGCCTTTCTTGGGGGACTGCTGTTGGTAGGTACAACATTCTCCCCCACTGCTTTTAAATGGTTTTTGTTCACTGTTGTAGGTAGGAAGTGAAGGGAGAGGTGTGGGCGCCTCCTTCCATCACCTTCCTCCAAAGTCTGGCTGCATTGATTTGATGGTGTCATTAAGTCCTAAAGGCTCATGACTATTATTTGTTCACAATTAAACGTACCTTTTACTGAACACACACACACATTTTACTAAATAAATACACACATATTTCTGTTGCAGAATATACATTATATATGAAAACACCCAACTTTCCTTATTCACAGTTTCGCTTTCCGCTGCTGCAGTTACCTGTGGTCAACTGTGGCCCCCTGATTTTTTTTTTTTTAACGGAAAAGGCCTTTTATTTGCAAAAGAGCAGGATGGAAGCAGCAAATTGCATTTTCTCAGTGAACATTTTGACCCCGGACACGTCTAGACTTGGCTTCGCGTCTGTTTCTCTGCTGGGGGAGGAAGAACGAGGTGGCATGGGGCTTCTATTTGCAGCGGAGCAGAACTCGGATCAAGCCAGCGGGTCCGGGGCTGCGCGGCTCCTCGGCTCCTCCTCGGCTGCAGCTGGGGCGGAGCCGGCGGCAGGAGCCGCGGACGCAGCCGAGGGGGCCGCAGCGCCTGCTCTGGGCAGCGGCGTCTCTGGGCTTTCTCGGTTCAGCTCGCTGGGGACCTTGCTGAGCCCGTCGTCAGCCTCAGCGTCCACGCCGACCGGGATCTTCTGGATCCTCCGCCCTGGAGAGGCGCTGCCCCAGGGCGGCCGCAGGTGGGAGCAGCGCAGCGCAGCGCAAGCGCCTCTGGGCGGGCGGTCAGGACCGAGTCCCGCAGGTGAGATGCAGCCAGGGCGAGAGCAAGAGACCCAGCCACGTAGCTTTCGTTGCAGTGTGTCCTTTATTGCAGTTATTGTTGTTGATCTCTCACGGCGCCTAGTTTATAAGTTAAACTTGATGAAAGCTGCATGCAGAGGATTTGGTATTACGTGCAGTTCGAGGCGTCCCCTGGATTTGGAGCGCATCCCTCGCGGACAAGGGAGGACTAGCTTAAATATATATGATATATATGATATATAGGTAAACACACACGTACTCAGAGCATTTAATGTTATGCATTTTACTCTAAATATTGCATGGGCTGACATTTCTATAGAATTTTGTGCTCTGTTTTTATTTGAGTTAATCTGAACCATTTTCTCATTTTTAGTGGATAATGTCTTAGTTTCATTTTTGTGGCAGTTATGTCTTTGCTGAGCAGCAAACTCATGAATTTAAAAACACGTTTTAGGACTCCTTATTTAAAATATTTTCTGTTTGCTTATAAATACAACGATTACTCTTGAGCCCACGGTACAACTCAAGGAATAAAACTCTAATATCATTGCTAGTTGTGTATCACCCCACCTCATCTCCTGCCTATCCCATATAGATAACCAGTGTTCTGAATTTTGTGTTTATCCTTTGCTTGCTTTTTAACATTAAGAAAAATTTTGTTGTCTAATTGTTACTAATGTGTAGAATAACGATTGACTTTTGTATGCTGATCCTAAGATCCAGCCACTTTGTTAAATTCTTTTGTTTTTTAGTTTGCTATAAATTCATTATTTTCTCTATGGCAAATCAGATTATTTTAAGTAATGACAATTTTATTTCCTCCTTTATAATTATTGAGCTTCCATTTTTTTCCTTCCCATCCCATTGCACTGGCTAGAACGTCGATGCTTGTTTCTTTTTGGAGAGTGGTATTTCCTCTTTTTATTCCACTTTTCCCGTGTGCTGATTTGGCATTTCTGCAATCTACTTCTGTTACTGTGGTGGTTACTTTATACATTTTAATATGCAGATTTAACCTCACAAAGTCTTAATATCGAATGGGATTTTGCCCATTCTTCTGGTCAATACAAGTTCAGATGATTTAACTCTGATCTTCTCACCTTACTGTTGTTTTCTCTCCCAATTTACTTTATTGAGACCGTATTTGTGTGGACTTACTTTTATGTTACTATTCTTTCTGCTCACTCTTCCTATTTGTATTTCTTTTCTCAGGATCATTTTCTACTTTTTAAACTGAATCCTTTATATATTCTTTTAGAGAAGATAAATTCCTCAAGTGTTTATAGAGAGATTATTTCCCTCCTTATTATAAGATGACAGTTTTGCAGAGAAAATTGTTTTAAGTGGATAGTACTTTTTTCTTTTCATTTTACAATATGCCATATCTTCAACATCTGTCTCTGTTCTCTGTCATTTTTTTTTAAAGATTTATTTATTCATTTATACAAGCACTGAGTACAGTCAGAAGTGCGGGAGAGTGAGAGAATTCACCAGAGCCAGAGTGGGGAACAGAACAGGCAGACTGACGATATACACTGCTGAGGGCAGCAGTGGATGCAGCAGGAGAGGTCTGTCGCGCCATGTGGGACCCTGGCGGGTGACAGGGGATCGAACAGGTGCTGCAGAGACTGCGGGCAGTTTTGCAGCCCAGCACTCAACTGCTGCACCACCAGGAGAGGCCCTGTTCTATGTCATTCTTTTGCAGGTCATCTGTCATTTTCTTTCTGCTTTCCAAATCTTCTATTTATATTTGATGTCCAACATATTTGCTGTGATGTGATGAGGTTAGAAGTTATTTTTCTCAATCATATTTGGGATACTGGATCTGTGTACATACGGTTTTCATCAATTCTGAAATTTCTCAGTCACTATCTTTTCAAATATTATTTCTTATTATTCTCTCCAATTTCACCCTTTGGGCTTCCACTCAGA